TTTGTAAGTGAGCTAAACAAGTCGCTCAAGTCTGCTGGCTTGTTAGATAAGAAACACTGGGTTATCTTATCTACGCACTCGGCAATTATCTTTTCTCTCAATCCATTATAAGTTTGAACCTTTTTGTTACTTAAAAGCTGAAGTGTCAAAATGCTCTTTGCTTGCCTCCAGTATTCTCCATAAGGAGCGACTGTTATTTCCTTGAGATTGTAGGAGATAGCCCTGAACATTCTTGTGTTAGGCCTACTTGCAAATGCAATATCATGAGTTTTCATGATCTCGCGAGCTGCTTCTGTTGATGAGACCACCAGGCTTGGGACTGAGCCGATGTGGAGGAGCATGAGCGAGTCACCATAACGTCTGGCCAGAGATAGAAAGGAGTGGTGGACGCTTGCGCCTAGCTGGTGGAGGTTGCCGATGACTGGCAGTTTTGGTGGTGATGGTGGTAGTTTCTTGGTGGTGGATGATGATGAAGAATTGTACCATTTGTAGAACACGAAAAAAGCACCAAGAAACAACGTCAAACTGTAGATCGACACTTGTGCTATGAAACTCCACATTTTGTGTAAGTGTCGTCGGAGAGTGAATTCAATGATACGAATGTTTGTGTTGAGGTGAACATATTACATTGTCTACTTATAATCAGTGTGTTAAACAAACCGCCTGCCATCAATGACCAATACGCAATATATCAAAAAAAATAGACGATGATTTTGAATTTGACTAAAAAAACCTTTGAAAAAATTTAATAAAAGAGTTGGCGGATAATTTGATGTATTGACTTTGATTATATGTTACGGATGACGGCAGAGGGAAACTCACTGGCGGATGGATTTTTGTGTTAAAGTGACTATTTGCGTCGTCTAGTTATAATAAAAGCCTTTTAATAATTGAACGCCATCAGCGACCGCTTGTACAGCCACAAGACTAAAATAATAATAATAATAATAATAATAATAAATGAAAATTTCATAATGTTGCTAATGATGGACAATTTTACCCTTCACTAACTACTGTTGTTATCCGAATTGGGACTTGAGGTCCTGCACAAAAGAGTTTAGTTGTTTGCTGGAAGTCCGTTGGGAGTTTTTTCCCTTATTAAAGATCGTGTTCAAGTCTGATTGTTACTCACTCAAAATGTGCCTTGAAATATACTAATGCCAAGCCTTCTCGAATGTACCCTTCACTGGTTTTGCTGTGGGATCCGATTCATCTTCGAACTTAATCTACCAGCTGTGACTCATGGGGCTCTACACTTTTGTTGATTTATGTTTTTTCTCGTGTTTTTTGCCCTTTGCTACTTTTAGTCTACTTAGTTTGTTTTTTCTTTCATCTTCTTGTATACTTTTATTGGTCTAGCTTCCCACTGGTTCATTTTTAACACATTTTGCTGTTCAAAAAAATAATAATAGATGAAAAATAATAATGGTAATTGTCCTTGGACGTTAATTTGTGTTAGTTATTATGCAGGTGTATAAAGTGTAAATTACTTAATTTGTTAATAAAGGAGTGTTCCTATCAAGTAGGAAGCTACTGAATGAAGAACTTGTACGTGGGAGTATAAAGCTTGTACCTGGTAGTGCTAGGATTGCTTGTACCAAGGAGTTTGGAAGCTTGTAGGGCGAGCATCGAATCTTGGTATCTGCATTTGGAACCGTAATCAGTACCGAATCGCCGGTTTATCTACTGACTTCATTTATGTTCTTTAGACTATCGGTATAGGCAACGCCCTACCCTGTTATTCCGACTTGGCACCCAAAAAACGCCATTATAACGACTTGTACACCCCCCCCCCCCCGGCGTTTTCCTGCATTACGGCATCGTCCGTTATTATGGCAACGGGAGGCAACGATAGTATTTGGATAGCATTTTCTTCAAAACAGTCATATTTTAAACTGTTGTTAAACGGTCACAAACAAAAAAAAAATTCATTTTAACTCTACTATAAATTCACATATTGCTCTTAATTTTTACCTACACAATACATCTATTTCTCTCAATTTCACTCTCTTTTCTTTTTTTTTTTCTAATTCACATAAACTAATAATTCAAAACAAAAAAATGGATACATTTGATCTGTGCCATCCATTCATCAACGATTGTAACGATAACGACGATATCTTTGTGACTATGATGTACCGGTATTCTACGGGCGTGCTACTACAACCTGATCCATTTATATAAACCCGATACTTTGTATTCGTACTCCATTTATATGAAAACCCGGTACTTTGTGTATTCGTACCCCATTTATATGAAAACCCGGTACTTTGTAATGTACCCATTTTTGTATAAACCCGGTACTTTGTATTCGTACCCCATTTATATGAAAACCCGGTGCTTTGTAATGTACCCCTTTTTTTATAAACTCAGTACTTTGTATTCGTACCCCATTTATATGAAAACCCGGTACTTTGTAATGTACCCCTTTTTGTATAAACCCGGTACTTTGTATTCGTACCCCATTTATATGAAAACCCGGTACTTTGTAATGTACCCCTTTTTGTATAAACCCGCTACTTTGTATTCGTACCCCATTTATATGAAAACCCGATACTTTGTAATGTACCCCAGTCTTATGAAATGAAAACCTTTTGTAATGAGTTCGTAATGTAAATGAAACATAAACTATACCTATTATAGTTTATCATAATGTTTGTAATGTATATGCAACCTAACTATACCTATTATATTTTAGCATAATGTTTGTAATGTATATGCAACCTAACTATACCTATTATAGTTTAGCATATTTGTTTGTGGTGTATAATATACTTAACTATACTTATTATAGTTTATTATAATTATTTGTAGTGGTAGTAACCCTTTGTATATGATTCATACCTTTAAACTAAGGTAAATAATATGTACTATCAGCAATATGTATTCAAATAATACTACACACTTTTCTCAGCAAGTTACAAGGTGTAAATACGATTGTTAACTATTTTATAGGTTTTAACTTTTCGGTTCCTGTTATTGGAAAATTTATAGAAAAATCATCAGAGGTCGAAATTCAGATCCGTAAACTCTGAGGGTTTAGAAAACGTGTCTATTTTATTCAT